ATAATAATAATAATAATAATAATAATAATAAGGACAATTAAATTTGCCCTTCTGTATCATTCTCCTGATTTACCTTCGAGCGCTTTCATTTTTGCCTTTGTTTCTTTCACATGCGAATCAGGACCTAACTTCATTTCAGGTATTTCTGCTTGTTCAAGCATGCAGATGTTTAGCTGTGCAGCTCATCCCAGCTGCTGGGAACAGACATGCATTTGGTTGGCAGACAAATATTGAAATTCAAGCACAAACTCTAAAAAATGGTGCAAAAATATCAAGAATAATAGTTTTAAATGTTTGAAATAAAAGGTAAGCAAAGGTAAGGAAGACATTTAAAACTGACTTGTTGTCCTGTGATGGTCCAGACTTCGGTCCCTGCTCCTCTGGTCTGTGGTCCTGTCCTGTGGAGGCTGTGATGTGAGGTCTTCATGCTCCTGATGCTCATATTTAAGCTCCGTCTGTCGTGTGCTGAAGCAGATTCCGAGGAAGCCGTCGGCTCGCTTCTCAGAAGGTTTGACATCAGTTTTTTTTCTGCTAAGTCACTTTCCAGGACGATCCGGAGACTCTCAGAGCTGAGTCAGAGTTACACTGAAGGTGTTTCCTGCCTGCACGTCATGTCACACGATTAAATAAGGGAATTTCCTGATCTTCCTTATTATTCACATTTCACAATAACTCTTTCATCACTTGTAGTGAGGCACTTACTCATACATACATTAAATAACCATAAAGCACAGAGATGTAAAAGGAAAACAATACTTTAATACTTTTTCCCTCTTCTAGTAGAGAAGATCGTATATGGCACATAAAGCTTTCAGAGAAAATGCTGATTGGACAATATTTGAAAGCCTTAAAATTCACACGTTTTGCAAACCACTGTTTGCTGCACTTGGTAAGTGGACTGGCTTTTCTAGTGTCACTGACCTTCAAAAACACTTCGCACTGCACGCATGCAGGGATTTATTTTATTAATGGTGTTTAAGTGCAGGCGGCACAGTGTGGGTGGCCGTCTGCGTCCATGTGACAGGCTGGTGAGCTGTCCAGGTGTCCCACGCCTCTCGCCCTAAGACAGAGAGAATGGATGGGGTGTGTTTATGTATTACATTTACGCAACAATACAGTCACACAGACGATCATCGCAGGAAACGATTAGCTGGAAAAAAGTTGCCTTCAGGGCTTTTTTAATAGTAAAGCTGAAAAATAGTGGAAAGGAATTTTTGCCCCGAGTAGAGGAGTGTCTGCAGAGCTTTGCTACAGTAGCAACAAAAATGTGATCAGAGTGCTGTTTTATGCAAATAATGAACATTTGGGGGGGTTGTGACGTTTTTCCGTCCTCACATGAACACCTGCAGGCTCGGCGGATTCTTCTCACATCCAAATTTGGAAATAAGTCACACGTCTGAGGAAAAGATTAGATGTCTCAACCGGCTCGGGATTGCGTCAGTGTTCCCCTAAAAGAGAGGGAGGAGCAGGGCTGTCGGCTTTGTTGGATAGTTTGAACACCTACAGGAAGTGTTGAA